TCTTCCTTCTGTCTCTGGAAAGGCCTCCCTGAGAAACCTGGGAGGCGGTTTCCTATAATCCCAAATGGGGTTGCCTTAGTTGGGGTTAGACTAAACGCTGTCATGAAAAGATTTCAAAGTGTCCCAGCTCAAGTGAGGTAGAAGTTTCTTCCTCTCCCTTCAAACAGTTCAAGTTCCAGGTAGGCAGAGGGCCCAGCTCCACAGGATCACTCAGGGACCCAGCCTACTTCCAACCTGTTTCTCCCTCATCTCCTTGGGCTGTCTTCTCTGCGTGGCCCAGCCTGGGCTGCGGCCACGTACTTGCTCCGGTTCATGGGAAGGGGACAAAAAGCATGGTTATAGGGGTGGCGGGTGCTGGGCAGGGAGAGGCCCATCTCACGTGTCCTCAGATGCCACTGGGGGCCTCAGTCACGTGGCTGAGCCTAACTGCGGGGGAGGCCACTGCCCACCACCATTCTATTATTTTGGGAGGAGGAGACACAGATTTTGTTGGACACTTGACAATCTGTGCCATAGAGGTGAATAAAGAGCTTAGAAGTTGCAGGCCCCATTTCTAGTTTTCTAGTGATGACTCTTAATTTTCCAACAGTTATTTTGAATGGGGAACGCGCGAACGATCTACAGACTTCTAAAGCTGTAAAGCGAGTAGAGGATAAAAGACAAGTTTCCCCGATTGCTCCCTTCCTCTCCTTAGAGTAACCTTTCGTTTCTTCTGTATCCTGCCAGGGATATCTGCATCCATTTATCCTTTTCCTTTACATGCTGATGCCAGGATAATGATAAGTTCTGGGAAATTCACTGGAGCATGGTCACAAGTAAAAGTAAAAAGATGGGACACATAAAAGTAAAAGATGGGCCAGCCACAAAAGGGACAGATGCTGTATGATTCCACTTTCATGAAATAGCTGGAGCGGTCAGATTCACAGAGACAGAGAGCAGGGAGGTGGGTTCCAGGAGCTGGGGGAGGGAGGAATAAGGTGTAGGACTTCCTGGGTACAGAGTTTCGGGTGGGGGTTCTGGAAAGGTTCTGGAGGTGAATGATGGCTGGTGGTACAAGAAAGTGAATGTACTTAGTGCCTTGAACTGCCACTTAAAAATGATTAAAATGGTAAATGTGCAGTTCTGTATATTTTTTCAGAAGAAAAGAAAAGACGGAAAATAGCCTCAAAGTCCACTCGTAGGATACAGTTTACAATACATTCATTCAAGGTTTCTGTTAGGAAGCAGAGGGCTACTCCCCACGCACTGTCGTGGAAAGAACTCTACAATATATAGATGCCTAAGGGGGTGGGACGGTGTGCACCGGTGTGCTGACAGAGACGGGTGAAGGTGGCGGTCAAGAATGGGGATTCGGGAACCAGACTGCTTGGCTTCCGAGCCCACTGCTGTGTGGGACTTTGGGCAAGTCAGGTACGTTATCGGGGCCTCAGTTTCCGTATCTGTGAAGTGGGGGATAGACGAGCCCCCCTCCCCGCCTCCTGGGGGTGTTGAGGAGATTAGATAAGTCAGGAGGTACAAAGCCCTCAGGAGGGGGTCTGACACATCCCGCTTGTGCATTAAATGTGAATGAATGAGTGAGGATGAATACATCTGAGTCCGAGGTCACGAGCTGTCCTTCTGGCTCTGCCCGACACCTTGGAGGTGGCTCCGGGCTGTGGTTTCCTCACCTGGCATATAGAACAGGTTTCCAAGTGTGAGAATCGAATAAGTAACGGGAGGGAAGGTGCTCAGCCAAAGGGAGAAGCATAGAATTAGCGTGTGAGGCCATGTCATCGCCTGTCTCTGTGGCACCGGCCTGCCCTGGGCTTGTGGGTGTCAGGGGGGTCACTGCAGGGTGGGGGGAATGCATCTGTAGAGCTGGGCCTCTGGCCTTGGGGGTGGAGGAGGCAGTCCTGGAACTTGAGGGGCTTGGTCGTGGTCATGGGTTGCCAGCTCTGTGCTGCTCAGTCGAACTTGGGCAGGAGGGGAGCAGGAGGGACTGGCGAGGGACACTAGCCCCCCCCACCCCTGGCTGCAAGGAGGAGTTTTTGGGACCCCAGGAGGATGTCGGTTAACCTTCCTCCTCTTCTTGTGCCTCAGACCTGGCAGCCGCTCTGGCCTGACCAGACATCAGTCTGCCCCAGAGGCCTCTGGAGAGTACATGAGCCTGGAGGCCAGGAGGCCTGAGGGGGCCCATCTCCATCCTGCCACCAGCCCCTAGGACCCTGCTGAGTTACTCAGTCTCTTGCAGATGAGTTGGCTTCTCTGAAAATAATCTGTCCACCTCCCTGGTGTGTTGTAGGAATAAGACACTAGAGATGAAACTGCTTTGAAAAATAAGTCCATTAAAAAATATATTGCTCATTTGAATGACTTCTCTGTTTGAGGCATTCACGAAGCATGTTCTGCAGCCCTAGTATTCTAGATACACACATCTCATCTAAACCTCGGTGTTAGGGTGAGCCAGGGACTGTGACCAACAGCCCCAGATTTCAGGAACTTACACACTAAGGTCTGTTTCTCTCCCTCAGTGCTGCTCAGACACTGGGCTCCTTTCCCCTCATGGCTGTGCTGCCCCGCCAGCCTCCCATGGATCCTCCACTGGAGGCTGGCCAATGTCACCTCTACCCCCGTCCACGCGCCAGCACCCCTCATGTGAGCCTTCCTGATGGTGAGGGAGGCTGGGGATGCAGGCTTCGCGTGTGCCCAGAGGGAAATGCACCCTGCCGGGGAGCACCCAGTGTGGTTCTGCCCTCCTGTTACAACCCTCCATTGTACTGATGGAGAAACTGAGGCACACAGGCGAAGTAATTGGCCCAGTGCCACACATCCAGTAAGTGATTTGAACACAGGCCTGCCTGATTTAAATACCTGTTCTTTACACTGTTCTTTGTTGTCTTAGACCCATGTTTGCCGCTCAGGCTGTTCCTCGGAATAATGGGGAATTTTTCCTTCTTTCTCTTTTTCTCTTTCTCTCTCTCCCTCCCTTCCTTCCTTCCTTCCTTCTTCCCTTCCTTCTTTCCCTCCTTCAGAATCATGGGGAATTTTTCTTTCTCCCTTTCTCTCTGTTATCTGTCCTCCCTTCCTCCCTCCTTCCCTTCCTTCTTTTCTCCTTCCTCCCTCCCTCCCTCTCTCTTTCTTTCTCTCTTTCTTTCTTTCAGTATTGTATGAGGAGATCTTACATGTTTTTTTTTTTAATAAAATTTTAATTTTAAAATAGCTTTAGATTTTCGGTGTGCTCAGCCCTGTGGGAGATGCCGGGGGGACAGCCTTGGAGGACAAGCCCCTGCCTCCAAGGAACTGGACCCAGAAATGGGAGCTTTGGATCCTAGGTGGGAAATATGGGGTGTCAGGAGTCTGTGCACAGGGTCTGGGTTCGCACTGAAGGTGGTGATGGGATTGGAGATGCACTGCATAAAGGCACTTCCTGGGCAAAGGGGATCAGCCTTTTATCACTTTGTTTTACCTCTTTGCTGTTACACTCTGACTTGGTGTCTTTGGCCGACAGGATTCTGCATTTGGTTTTTCTCCCTTCCATCCCCTTTTTCCATACTTAGAATTTTTTAAATCGACCACTTCTAATCTTCATTGGTCTGGAATTGTAAAAAATCAAATGTGTTTGTAACATGTCAGGGTAATTAGGCTGCGAATGAAGGGTTTAGGGACTCTGATGGAAGTAAAATGCATAAACGTGAGCTCCTCAATCTTATGCTTCTGTTTCTGCTACCCAGTGGCCTTCTGCAGCTTCATTGATATTCCAGATGACATTGCCACGTAACTGAAGCATAACTGAACTGTGCTGTTGTCAAAACCAACCTCAACTGCTGGCCACCTCTTCCCTCTCGCCTCATACCTTCTTGCTCCTTTAAAAATGCACTGCCTTTGGGGTGCCTGGGTGGTTCAGTGGGTTAAGCCTCTGCCTTTTGCCCAGGTCTTGATCTCAGGGTCCTGGGATCGAGCTCTGCATCGGGCTCTCTGCTCAGCGGGATGCCTGCTTCCCCCCTCTCTCTCTGCCTGCCTCTCTGCCTACTTGTGATCTCTGTCTGTCAAATAAATAAATAAAATCTTTAAAAAAAATGCATTGCCTTTGCATTGCCCACATGCACATTTTTATTTACTACGTTTTCTTGATTCTAAACAGTTCATCTTACCACATTTTAACGTCTCTCAAATGGATGAGTCTTTTAATGGATGGAGGTCTTGGGATGGTTTGTAGTTTTCCTTCTCACTGGCACATGACAATACATCTTAGGATCAGTGATATCTTAGACTCAGTGAGGTTCGGTATTGATAGCATTTGAAGGAATTGGGAATGGTTCTGTCGGTCCAGCCTGTCTCCCACGCCCCTGTGGGAGAGACAACCTCACCGCTCGTTTGAAAGCAACTTTCTTCCTTTTGCAACCTTCTTATAAGAACCACAACAATGGGGATAATAATACCCACAGTGGTCAGCAGCCATAAAGCACCTACTCTGTGCCCAGCACTGCTCCAGGCACCTTTCCCAGATTCCGTGATGGTGGAGGCACCGCTATTACCCCATTTTGCAGGTGAGGAAATGGAGGCTCAGAGGAAGAAGGGGCAAAGCCAGGAATCTGGGCAGTCCATCAAGCTTTGAAGAACCCATGCTATGCTGCTTCTAGTGATTCCGGGAGACAGTGGAAGTGTCTTGATTCAAATCAGGGCTTCATACCTGGCTGTACCTTAGAATCAACTAGAACACTGGTGGAAGAATTTTTCAAGTAGCTTTACAGCACAGCCAGAGGAGAGAACCCTTGGTTTGCATGGTCCGTGTGAGATCCCCTGGTTCTGCTGTCCTGGGATGCCCGATGCCACAGCTTCAGGGAAGCCGCCAGGCTTGGGGGTACCAGGGCAGCCTGAGCCTCTTGTACCCTTTGGGGCTAGATCTCTTGGTTAAAAAATGTGGCTTATGAGACTGTCAATTGATCTGTGCTTTTAATTTTTGTGCTTTATTTTCTTTTCCTTCTCCCCCCCGCCCCCATCCCATCCTTCCTTCCTTGCAGCTCTGGAGTGCACAGAAAATCAAGCAGGTGATTCTGTTTTGGATTTGTTTCCTTCCCTTGGCCTGCTCTGCCCTGGGGATTCACGGTTGTGCCCCATTAGCCAGCCCAGCTGCCTTGCCCTTTCTCCTTCCCCCATAACCAGGCCTGAGTTTCTGACTGCCAGAACTCAGGCCCCTTGCCTTTCCCTGGGCCCCTGAGCTCCTTCCCTGTGGGGGCCTTCCACAAAATCCTTACATGCCTACCAAATACCAGGCCCCAGGGACAGAGGATCTGCCAGGTAGACGCAGTCCCACTCCCCTGCATTCAGCTTTGAGTGGGAGTCAGGAAAAGTCCTATTGGGGGCCCGTGTTCTGGTGTTCTCTTGCCTTGAATGGTGGGAAAGGACTGACCGGCCAGTCCTTGGGGAGCTCTCCTTTCCCTCTTTCCTCCCTCCCTTGTCCCCCTGTCCACTCCCCTCCCCTCCCCACAGTCACCCTATGCCTCGTTCCCTGCTCTTGCCAGGCTATTCTACACCCAGATACCAATGAGAAGATCTTCATGCCCTTCAGAATGTCAGGTAAGCCCATGGGACCCTTCTGATTCTGCCCAGCCTCGGGCGCTGACCATGGTCCCAGCTCTGGGAGCACCCAGGGGCCGCAATCCATGGAGCGATGGAACCTGTGACACCCGAGCCACGTTTTCCCCTGCATGTTCACCTTGGCTCAACTTTACAGACCTCTGGCCAGGCCTCAGAATCACCTATGGGGCTTTAAAAAAAAAATTGTGCCCGTCTTCCTCTTCTGCCTGAGTGGTAGGGGGTGGAGCGGAGGCTTCCACGGGGGAAATCGGGTGCCCCCAGCCCAGTTAGATACTACTTACTTAGCAACGCCTCAGGGGTGACACCGGAGTTGGAGTCGGGCAGGCTCTGCTTTCTGTGAGTCATTCATCCCTAACCTTCCCTGTGCATATCGTGCTCTTCCCCTCCAAACCACGCTCCCTTAGAAATGCTTAATCCCCAGGCTCCCCTCTACTCCAGAATGCTGCGTTGGCATGAGTGCCCACCCACGGGAGGTGGATCCCTGTTCTGTGGAGACCAGTGGCGGAGGGGGTGGCGTGGGGGAGTGGGCAGAAGATCCCTGCCACCAGGAAGTCCCTGCCCTGGGGTCACGAGAGGGAGAGCTCTGTATGCCCAGCTTCGTAGTCTAGAGAGTGCTTGCACGCCCTGAGCCCGGGACCAGCGTGTCCATCCTGCCTGTGGTTTTGAGAGGCTCCAGGCCTTGTCCAGAGTCACACAGCGGAGGTCAGCGTCACACCAGAGTGCTGAGGCCTACTCCATGACATTTCTCAGTGCACCAGGGCACTCTGGCAGGGTTGCGGGGAGGGTTGCTGGCTGCTGCCTCAGAAAGTCCTCAGGGGACTGGAGAAAGGGTCTCCCTCGGGGGCTGTTCTCAGCTGGCTCAGTTAGGATCCCCACCCCCAGGGAGCCTGACCTCATGTGGGTGACAGAACACACAAGCACGTGACACCATTGTGCCCACTGAGGCAGTGAGTGCCCCCTGAGCCTCCGTGCTTGGCCGTGCCAGGCACCAAAGCCTCAAGTGTCTTGTAGCTTTGGCTGTTGGTGCGCACAGTCCCTGCACGTGGCCATAGCAACCTCTCACCTGGGGCCTGGATTCTCTTTTGTCACTCTCCCATCAAACCTTGGATCTGTCTCCAGAGGAATGTGGGCAGGAGAGTGACAGCTCACGAACCCTTGCTTTAGACGACTCAGATAAGTGTGGTCGTCTGTGGTCCCTCCCCCAGCTGACTGACTGCCGTAAGTCAGAGGTCAGGGACACGAGGCTACCCAGTGACAGCAGAGTGGGGGCCATGGAGGGAGCCTCCCGCAGCGTGGGGGCAGTGAGCAGTGAGGAAACGGTGCTCTATCCTGCCCTCTTCAGGGTGTCTGGCCAGGGTATGAGAAAGTTACAGAGGACCTCTGGCATGTAGAGGGTTTGGGTTAGGGTTAAGGGGTTAGAGTTAGGGTTAGTGTGTGGGGAGTTCCCTTTCCAGAATTGGTCATGATGCTGGGAAAGTAAAGATGTGTGCTAGAAAGGCAAGGTCAGAGAAGAACATTCCAGAGCCTTTGAAAGCTGTGGAGTGTGTGGAGTAGGTGTGGGCCAGGAACGTCATACCTCATGGGGGAAATCATGGGAGGAACACTGAGTATAGCGTGATGGCCCGCCAGCAGTGGGCAGCCTGCCCTCGGCAATGGGCCCCTGAGTTTTGGAGGGGAGTGAGAAGTGTCTGGCTAAAGGGGGACAGAGAGAGGGCAGCAGAGGGACACAGGGGAGCCCTCTATCCTGGGGAGGGCTGAGCCGGGAAAAAGTCTGGGGGCTGGAGGAGCCTCATCAGGGCCACTGACCAGAGCAAACCCAGAAGCCTCTTCCAGTGTTTCTGTCGAGTGGTGGGTAGGATGGCGATGGGTGGGACCGGAAGACCTGACCCTCTTCTCTCCCCCCTTCAGGTTACATTCCTTTTGGAACGCCAATTGTAAGTATCACCTGCAAAGGGTTTTCTTCTCTAAAACATTTTTTAATGTATAACTTTACAGCATTGGTCATAAATATTTGAGATGTTGATTTAGGATAAATTCCTGGAGGGGAATTATGAGATAAAGTGGCATTTAAGTCTTTTTCATTCTCTTGATGCATATTGTCCAGTTTCTTCCCATAAAGGCGTGGGTGCCCACAGGCAGCCAACACAGAGCCTCAAAGTGCGTTCTCCCTGCCGGCTCCCATCCCGAGTATCGTCACCAGAACATGCTGGTCTCAGGCTAGTTTTCCGAAAAACTTAGGAAGTCAGAAAATAAGCACGCCTTCTGAAACCTAAACTTTAAAAAGAACTCAGAAAGGAGTCAGTATTCTTTTTGCTTAGTTCTGGAATCAGGGTTAGGTTTGTTCTGTTTAAAATATATATATGTATTAGAGCAAAACTAATATACAGCGTGGTAGGGTTTCACAAAGCAAACTCATCCAAGTAAGGCTCACTGAGGTAGGGTTAGAGCATTAGCAGCCTCTCAGCACCCTCTCCCACAGCCCCCAGTCCCCCAGGGAATCACTTTTCTGACTTCCCTCACTGTGTTCCCGTCCGGCCTGTTACTGACCGTTATGTAAGTGGAACCGTCAGGATGTCCCTGTCTGGGTCTGGCTCCCTTCACTCAACATGGTGAGACTCATCCATGTTGTTGCATGTCGTAGTCGTTTCTCATGGCTGGTGGGTTCGTAGCCCCTTCGTTACAACTATATCAAAATTTATCCATCCTACGTTGGGTGAACCCTGGGGCTGGTTCCGGTTTGGAGTTTACAACAAGCAGTGCGGCTTTGAATGTGATTGTACAAGTCTTTTAGAGGCTGTTTCCCCTCATTTCTCCCAGATGATACCACAGGATTAGAGAACCACCGAAGGCAGCTCTTGATCCTAGATCTGCGATCGGGACGGGGGTGTGTGTGAAGTGTTGTGTGGTCTCTTGTGAAGTGAAACATACAACTAACATCCAGTGTGAGCCAGTAACTGTGATTTTGGGCATTTACTTCAAGAGAAAGGACTACACAAATGTTAATCGTTGCTTTCTTCCTATTAGCTTAAAGCTGAAAAACAAAAAAGAATGACCAAAAGATACTAAAACCATGAGTGAAAACCTGACTGGGAAGAGAGTCGTCACCTTGTTGCAATATTTCCTATGTATTTCACAGATATCGTTCTTTCTATATTTATGGGCAGGCCCTCTCCTGTGAATAAGAGTTTTCCCCCTTCTGCCTCCCCCTTTAATGTTTTTACAATGATCAGTATGTTCAGGGCAATTTTTTTGATTCAGTTTACTGTATTCAGTATTTACAGTTTACTGTAATACAGTTTACTGTATTCAGTATTCAGATTACTTCTCTTATTATTCATGTTGATATACACATTGTGCCAAATGTGATGATTAGGAACCCTTTAGAGCGATTTCTCTGTCCATATGACGTGTCTTCCATATCCTCTGAGAACTTCAAAACTTCCTGGCACGATGTGTGGGTGTTCCAGACCCATCTTGTACTTGCTGAGCCCCAGTCCTGGAATCGTGTGTTTCTCCAAAGCGCTCTCGTTCCGTTCAGAGGAGAATGGTGTTTGGACACCAAGATCTGGATGTGAGGTGTGCTCACGGTTACTGGAGAGTCATTGTTTCTAGGCCCTCTTAGCATTCAGAGTTAGGAGATACGACTTCAGAATGATGAGTTCGTGCCAGTAATTCCAGTCCAGCATCTTAGCCATCTCGCACTCCTCCCATCCCGTATTTCTGTCTCTCTTCTCCCTGAATGAGAATCCAACAATCATATATGTACTCGCTTACCAAGTCTTATACACAGATGAGAGCATTTCAGAATTGCTACATCTGCCCTAACCCCCTAAGTGTATTAACTTGAGATTTCTTTGACGTTCTTAGAATATATCCTACTGAGGGTATACAGAGAATTGTGTTCAAAAGTTATTTGAATTGTGTGTTTCTTCTGTGTGGTTGTTACTTGTTTGATATACAGTTGGGTTTATTTGTTGTTGGCGTTCGGTTTTAGTTGCTTCCTCCTTCTTATTGATTTTTTTTAAGATTTTATTTATTTATTTGAGAGAGAGAGGATGAGAGAGAGAGAGAGTGCATGAGAAGGGGAGGGTCAGAGGGAGAAGCAGGTTTCCCTCTGAGCAGAGAGCCCGATGTGGGGATCGATCCTAGGACTCCAGGATCATGACCTGAGCTGAAGGCAGTCGCTTAACCAACTGAGCCACCCAGGTGCCCCTGGTTTGTGTTTTTTTGAAACTTGTAAAATATTAACATCATTCAAAAGTCAAAGCCACATAAAAAAGGCATGATACAAATTCCATTCCCCTCCTTATCCCTTTTATCTCCTCCCCACCCATCCTCTGTGGGTAAACAATTTTATCCTTATTTCTTTTTGTAAAAATGAGCAGATGCAAACATATTTCTCCTTTTTTCTTATACAAAAGGTCGCATTCTACAATACTCTGTGCAGTGTTTTTTTCCCACTTAATGACATATTCTGGAAATCATGACCCATCAGTTTATAGAGGTCTTCATTCTTTTTTTTTTTAAAGCTATATGGTAGTCTACTATGTGCAAGTACCATAATTGATTCAGCTAATTTCTTGCATATGGAGGTTGAGACTATTTCCACCGTTTTGCTATCATGAAGAATGCCAGAATGGGTAATCCTGGGCATATTGTTTTGATGCTGTTAGAGATATATCTTGAGGGTAAATTTCTAACTTCTGTGAAATGACTAATTAAATAGACATTTCTGGAACCACTGAGCAAGAAAAAAGAAGATGCAAATAAACATATTAGGAATAAAAAGGTACAATAACTATAGATACAATAGGAGTTTAAAACCAGAACACATTGAACGATCTGGGGTAATAAATTTAAAGACATGTAAGAACAGGACACCTTTCTGAGGAAGTATAGCTTCCCGGAGATTGCCAAGAGGAAATATCGAATTTGAATAGACTATGAATAGAGAGAAATTAAATCAGTTGTTTAAAATATATGCACCAAAGAACAAACAAACAAACATCACTAATAGACGTCCACAGTCTTCCCGATGACCACTCTTGGAAGAATAGCCAAACTCAATTTTCGTTTAACTCCTAAAAGAGAATTAAAAAGAGGAAATGTGGGGCGCCTGGGTGGCTAATTCGAGAAGCATCTGCCTTCAGCTCAGGTCATGATCCCAGTCTCCTGGGATGAGTCCTGCATGGCGCTCCCTGCTCGGCGGGAAGCCTGCTTCTCCCTCTCCCACTCCCCCTGCTTGGGTTCATTCTCTCTCCCTGTGTCTCGATCTGTCAAATAAATAAATGAAATCTTAAAAAAAAAAAGAGGAAATGTGGGTCACCTGGGTGGCTCAGTCGTTAAGCTTCTGCCTTCCGCTTAGGTCATGATCCCAGGAACCTGGGATGGAGCCCCGCATGGGCTCCCTGCTCAGCAGGGAGCCTGCTTCTCCCTCTCCCTCTGCCCTGCTTGTGTTCCCTCTGTTTCTCTCTCTCTCTCTCAAATAAAGAAATAAAATCTTAAAAAAAAAAAGAAAGAAAAAGAGGAAATGTCTCCCAATTCATCTATGAGGCACTTTGAGACAAATACCAAAGAAGTAAATTGAAGAAAGAAAAATTATAGGCTAATATCACTTATGAAATTGCATCTAGGAATCTAAGTGAAATAACAAGTTGAATCCAGCAATGCATTAAAACATGTTCATCACCAAATAATTTTTAACCCACTGAGCCACCCAGGCACCTCATCACCACCAAATAATTTTTACCAACAATGGTAATATTAGAGAATGTGTTAATATAGTTTGTCACATTAATGGAAATGGAAGAAGAAATGTGATAATCCTGGTAGATTTAGAAAAATCATTTGATAAGATAAAACATAACTCCATTTATGACTTTCTTTTTTTTAAAGAGTGGATTAGATTCAGAAGGGAACTTTGTTAACTCATAGAGGTCTATCAAAAAAATAAAATAAAATCCCAATCCCAAAGGAAGCACCGTCCTTAAAGATAAAACAGATAAAGGTAAATTCTTAATGTCTGGAACAGCGTAAGAATACCTATTTCCAACATTTTCCTGGGAGACTAACAAGTACAGTAAGACATGAAAAAATAAATAAGTAGTAATAGGATAGGAAAGGAGGAAACAAAATCATTCATGAGGATAGACAAACTATTAGAACTACTATTTTTAGGGGCGCCTAGGTGGCTCAGTGGGTTAAGCCTCTGACTTCGGCTCAGGTCATGATCCCAGGGTCCTGAGATGGAGCCCAGCATTGCATCAGGCCTTCTGCTCAGCAGGGAGTCTGCTTCCCCCTCTCTCTCTGCCTGCCTCTCTGCCTACTTGTGATCTCTCTCTCTCTGTCAAATAAATAAATAAAATCTTAAAAAAAAAAGATCTACTATTTTTAAAAGATATCTGGATGTTAGACCAGTATAAAAAAATTGTTGGAGGCCCATGAACCTATAAAAAACATTTAAAATATGATATATTTTTTTAAAAAAGCATTTACAATTGCACTTAAAACTATAACGTATCGGAGCAACATTTCTCAAGGTTTGTCTCCTGAGACAAGGGAAACAAAAGCAAAAATAAACTATTGGGACTACATCAAAATAAAAAGTTTCTGCACAACAAAGGAAATCAACAAAACTAAAACGCAGCCTACCAAATGGGAGAAGATATTTGCAAATGATACATCCGATAAGGTATTAATATCCAAAATATATAAAATACTTACATGACTCAACACCAGAAACCAAATAATCTAATTAGAACATGGCCAGAGGACCTGAATAGACATTTTTCTAAAGAAGATATGCAGATGGCCAACAGACACATGAAAGGATATGAGACATCACTCATCCTCAGGGAAATGCAAATCAAAACCACAGTAAGATATCACCTCACACCTGTCAGAATAGCTAGAATCAAAAAGATGAAATAGGGGC